GATCTGTATTCACTGATAGTTTAACCTGTGCCAGTCTGTTTAAAAACTGGAATTAATGTTATCTAAATTTTAACCCTCAAGTAATATTAATATTAAAAATGTAATAGTTAAGGCTTGTGCTTCTTTATGTCAAATTGTTTTGTTTGGAAGTGATTGATAAAATCCAATTTTTTAATTCATAAACAGCCTTGTTTCATCCAGAAATGTTTATCCAGTTTTCCAGTTTGAAATGCTGCTGTACTGGCACTGCTCTTGTGTGCCCCAAACCCAGCGAAATTAATTCCCTATTCACTCTCCTAATGACAGCCAGTGCGTTATTCAATAAGAACAAGTTAGGTTTGTTTCCAGCTCTCCTTGAGGCACCTTGGCTCAGAGCAGGGAGCTTGTGTGTCATCAAAAGGATCTTCCAAGCCTGTTAATAAGAGCCACGCAAGTTTTTATGGCACAGTGGACACGGCGACTGGTTTTTGCTCTGCTCAGCCGTTCACAAGAGTGTGTCACAATGAAGCTAAAACCCGTGGTTGAATATTAATGAAGGCAATTCATTCTTCACTCCTTAGCTAGTCTTTGCCACATTGGATTTGAGTGTTTGCCAAAACGGACATAAAACTAATAACCAAGAGGGAGCCATCTTATGTAACGCTGTGCGATGCCCTCGTGTGACATGGCAACTTACTTCTCTTTGTGCATTGCTGCTGTTAACCTGCATTTCAGACAGGGCCATACAGCACAGACTGGGAAAATCTGACTTTGTAGAAGATGTGATGTGGTGGTAATGAGGGGAAACCAGAACGTGAGGCTGTGGGTTCAGATGCTGGCTGAAGATCACTCGGTCTGTCCACAAATCTAAAAATGCAGCACTGTGTGGTAAAGCTGGAAAATCTTTAATGTCTTGGCTTTTGCTAACAGAAAAGAAGAAAGTTAAACTCACGGAAGACAGCTGTGATAATTTTGGTCATTTCTAGACATGTTAAGTTTTCATTATAGCAATTATTCTTTTAATTATCTTTTTAAACAGCTTCCATTTAAAACATCATCCACCATGACTGGCTTTTCAAAAATGCATTTTAATCAGTAGGGATCCAATTTAGGAGAGCACAGAACTCTGCATTAAGGACTATCTTTCCTGAAGGCAATCACTGAAACCATTCCTAACTTCAGGCATGTGCTAAGGCTTCAGTCTAACTTCACTCACGGTACTAAAGAAGCTCAAATGATTTCAGGCATAGTGTAAACTGGAACTGAAAACCAGTTTACTGCAGCTTCAGCTCTGCAGCCCCTCATCTCCTAAGGGGATGTGTGTGACGGCGACAGAGGGGAGACCCATCTTGGTGTCATAGGCAGAAACTCAGACATTGAGAGCAAAACAAATATTCCAAAACCAAGCTGTCAGTTAGAGGCTGTGACAGCAAAGTATGGATAATGTGGTGCATACAGTGAGTCTACCCAGGAAAAACAAGATGAGCTCTTAAAAGAAAAATAAGTTTTGGACAGCTAGAGGGTATAACAGTCCTGCCACAGCTGTGTCAATGGGCTAAAAGCAAAGGCTCTGTGAGTTAAAACACACTATGTTGTTATGTTTAAGTGTATTAAAAAAAAAAAAATCCATCATCTCAAGCTGTGTTTTCTGTCTGGAAGCTAGAAAAGGTTGAGGAATGGGCTACCAGGGATCAACAGGGGACAACTGCTGCCGAAAGGATAAGGAGCTGAGCATGGTAACACACCAGGCAGGGCTGAGCCCCTCAGTACCCGGCTGAGGGGAGCAAGACGGGACTGGGAAGGGGACTGGGATCAACCAGGAGTCCAGATCACCAGGAAGGGTTGTGGTGATGCAGCAGGTTCGAGCTCAAGCTGGGAGGTCAATCCACAGATCAGGTCCAGTGCTCACCAAGCCAGTGCACAGCAACAAAATGGATCCAGCTGAGCTGGAGGCAGATGCACATGGGACATGGCTCTGACAAGAACTGAAAGCCCAGAGCTGAGATCAAAAGGAGCTGCTGGGCCCTTGGCCCCAGGTAAGACTGGCCATGGCCAGGGGACCCAAACTGCAGCACTTTCTCTTTAAGGAAGCCCTAAAAAGTCATATTTAGAGTTAATCAGAAGAGAAAAACACAAGTAAGACACAAAAAAATACCCAGCTTTCATAGTTTTTAACATAATATCTATGCATGTTTAAAAGACTAAGTGTGGAAAACAAAAAAAAAAAAGTTTTATTTACTCTAGCAAGAGAGTTATGAGATCACACAAGATTTGTTCAAACCACAGAGGAAATAGTAATTTCCAAAAGCTCACATGTAACATTAACCATTCAGGTTTAGCACTGAGGCTGTGAGTTAGTTAAAAAGCATCTAATTTGCTCCCATGCAATGCATCCATAGTTATGTGTCTTCAGAGTAAGTGAGGAGATAAATGGCATGATGTAGCACAGGGCAGCTGGTTTGGATCCTTGTCCCCAGATATGCTGGAAGAGCACTAGAGCAATTATTCTTACCCCAGGCATGTTCAGGCAGCCTATCATCATAAAGTTAACAGAAAACAGGTATAATCTCTCAAGTATCTAGAACTACATACCTCCCAAGCATTCTCAGAGGGGTCGTTTATATTTCTATCCTGATTTTTTTTCTTTTATTATTTTTCAGAAAGAAATTAAAAAGACCCACCTAATCTTTCATTTACATGCATTGTTCCCTGCTAACTTGGATGCTGACAGGTCTGTTACGTGGACTTTTGCATCCTGCATCTGTACAGTAACCTTTGAGAAGAATTTAAGGGGAATTTCTTACTTTCCCTTTTCTATTTGTGTGATGGAGGTATCCATCGTGTGTGTGCAGTCAGGTGCATTATTCAAGATACTGGGAAATTGGGATAGGTCAGGTAATGGAAGGCAGATATCATGTAGGTATTGTGGGATGTGAGCTCTCAATGCAGAGATTCCCCAGGATTTCTGTCTCAGTCCAGGCTTGGTTCAGCTGAGCAGTGACCCTGTTATGCTACGTGGTGTAGCTACTACCTCTTGCAGTGTCCACACGGTGTATCTCTGCTTCCTGTGGCTCCCAGGACCTACCAGAACAGTGCAAACTTCAAAACTGAAGCAGTCCTGTGAAAGAAACTGCAGAGCACGTTCTGAGAAATGTGAAATAATATCTGCAAAACAGAATTTCAAAACTGGTATCTAAGGGACAGGAATTAAAATTAATATCCAACAAATAATTTCTCTATGGTGATCAGTTTTTCTGTTGGTTCCACATGTAACTTGTCACACATTGTATGACATTGATTTTTTTATTCCCTTTCCATGATTTTCTTCAGTCTTATTTGAAGGTAATAGAACGTTAGGGTTTTTTTCCCCTTTTGAGTAATATGTCTGATTCTCAGGTTTGGTGCATAAATAGTAATTTGTGTGTTTTATTGAACATCTCTAGATAAAGTTCCTTACTGCTATCAAGAAGAAGACAAACCTGTCTGATAAACCTGTACTGAAATAGAAGGATTGACCTGGGGATAACTTTGGGCCACATTTTCATGTCTTGCTGTAACTGCCTCAATAGTTTTATTAACATGTCTACTCATTGAATAAGGAGTTACTGTGCCTGTGTAACAATATGTGTGTATGGACTCAGTCTCTGTTCTTACAAATGTCACTGTGTTAGAAAGGTGCCAAAGGCAGATCAGGTTCTTTGCTTATTCCAAAAGCAAAGGGAAGTATTTTTGATTAGTTCTTGAATTTTTGCTCTGAAAATTTTGCCTTTTTTTTTTTTTATAGGAAGCCTTTTTTTTTCTCCCCTTGAATGATAGTAAACTTCTTAAGATGGGGACTGTCTTTGGCTAGTAAACAGATAATCTCAATGTAAGGTGATGTTATGCCTTACTAATGTTATGAAAACTAATGATGAAAGGACTGCATTGGGTACAAGTCAAAGGATGAAAATAATTTCCAAAGTATCAGGAAAAAATATGGAAGCTCTTTTGTGCATATACTAATTTTGTGTTGTTTGCAATGCATGGAAAAGAAGAAAACTAAGCAATATATATTAAACTATATTTTATAATGATATAACTGTGAATGCAGTTAATTAGCACAGGGGAAATGTGATCCTAAAAATAATGTAAATGGAGTCTGGTTTAATAGTTGATAATGCTTTTGCTGGCTATGTGACAAACCCCAGTACAAGATGTCTAGTCTGTAGATTCCACCACTGAGTAACTCATTGCTGTAATTCATGTAAAACAATACAATTTTATCATTCTTCTAATAAAATTAGCTACAAAGAGGGCTTGTAGTGCAGCGTTTCTCCTGGTCTCTATGCCCCAAAGGTCGGTGTATTGTCTGCATAAAATGTTTGAGTCACATTTGAAGGAAGAGTAATGGGATAAAAATGTCTTTATTGGAAGCGTTTGCTTCCCTGGAGTGTAGGAGCTCTTGAGTGCTTAACCATAGTTCTGTAGCAGATGGTGAGCAGCCAAGCCACTAGAATGGGATGAGAATCTCTAATGTCAACGTTGGCTTCAGGAATGAAAAACACTGGTTTTTATAGAGAGGGGTCTTTCATCTGCAGTGTAACAATACCTGTTCATTGCATTTTAACTAAATGGTTTTATTTCCTGCAGCAAATAAAGTATCTATGTTGGGATAATAGGAACTGCCATTTTTTATGCATAAAAATCTGGTTCTGCTGAAATCAGTGGCAAGATGACTTGATTTCAGTGGAATTGAGGCTTCACCAGTCCATTTAAATGTCAAATCACAACAGCAGGCACTTGTGCTTTAAGCAGTATCAATAGTAGGTCTATATATTTACTGTATTAGTACTGACACCATCAAAATTGGGTGTAATTGTGAATGACAGTAGATCACCATTCACCATATGGTTGTCCTTGTGCCTAAAACTCAGTTTATAAGTGGGTCATAGCAGTTCTATGAGACAAATCATTCTGAACCCTGAATATCTGTGCAAAAGCTTTTTTTGTGCATTATCCAGCAAAATCACATCTTGCCTTACTTTCTGGGGTGGTGGGAAAAGGCATAATGCTTGCTGGATGAAATCTGAAATGGTTTCACTCTGAACCAGCTGGGAGTCACAGGCCTGGAATGACAGGGTCAGGAGAGCAGAGACCATTCTGGTTTGGCGTGAAAGAGGAGAGACAGAGATGAGGGACATGGAAAACATCAAGATGTCTAACTAAACAAACGAGCTAGACCTCAGCTGGAGTAAATCTGAGAAGATGCAACGAATTCAGTGAAGTCTACTCTGGTTTACTCCAGGCCCACAGACTTTCCAGGGTTTGAGTGATCTAAATCATATAGTGGTTCTTTTAAAGTTTATCCCATCACTAATTATTTGGTGTATCCGAATGTCTGACATGCACTTTGTGAGGCTTTTTAAGAGATGATTTTGCCAAGAAACCGCAGGATTCAGGGTAACATTTTTTAGACTGTTTGTTGTCGGTGGTGTTTTGACTCTTTGAGGTTTGCTTTGTTCCAAAGCTGTGGTTTTAGTGAGAAAATCTTCACGTAGCATCTGGCTTTCCATTGCCTGTTCCTGGTGATGTTTGCTGAAAAAAAGCATAGATTTCCAAGTTGCAAGTGAAAAGTGTGTGCCCTGTCAAGAACCTTCCCCCAGCCTTGTTAGAGTGCAGGTATGCAGCCCAAATCCTGCTCAGAGCTCTCATTTTATAAATAGAAGCCAAAGTACAAAAGGCAAAAGCTAAACAAAACTGAACATAAGTCTAAAAGCTATAAACCCAAACAGTCCATAAATCAAATGATAAGATACCACAAGATGAAGAATTCATGAATAGCAAGCATATAAGTTCACTTGGTAGCATGTTGGAAATGTGCCACCTCCTGCAATTGATAATCAAACCCACCTGAGCTAGTGGTTTATGACTTAAATAATGTGGAATATTTTCCATCTACTGTATTAGAAGCTAGATTAGAGAAATCAAAAAGAAAGGTTTAACTACTCAAGAAAATAAGAAGGGAAAGTTGTGTTTTCACAGACATTTCCTTTGCAGTAAATCAACGTTTGCCTCCCTTTAGTGTCCTCTTCACTTATGGAGGAGGAGGTTACCTTTCATTTATCAGAGGCAGCAAGCTATTTCTGCTCTTGGAAATGTTGCTGTAAACTAGATGTGTCTCAAATGGAATCTAATTTCTCATTACCATTCTAACCTTTCAGCCTTTGCTGATTCCATAATGAGGAATTTTGAAAGGAAAGTTCAGAAGCAATCTGAGTCCTTTCAACAGCCCTCTCTGTTTAGTCAGATAAGAACATCTGTGAAATTTAAGGGGAACCTTCAAAGGTGTTCATGATCCCCTGATTTATTTTTTTTTTTGCAGTTGGGAATTAACATAAATAAACCCAGGCCTGGACCCAAATGCATGTTTTTTTGAGACTTCATTTCTCCTTTAGTTTCTAAATTTTTGCCTGTTGGTGAGAGGTAAAAAACCTGTCTGTAGAGGAATATATTTTATGGCTTAACTTCATCATCATGTGAAACTAGATGAAGTGCCCCTAACATAAAGGAGATGAGATGCTGAGCACAACTCATTCATAAAAGTTGCAAGTCTCCAAAAGAAGGCTGCAGTGTTATTCTTCTAATCCATTGCTTTTTCGAGTCTATTAATAAGTCCTCTGAATGAAAGCAATTGTTAGCACAGTATTCAGGGACAGGATTGAAGCCACATTAAAATCTCCCATCATGATAGCAAAATTTAGGGAGTTGAGGCTGTGAGCTCCAAACCACGTCAACCTCCTAATAACTGGTGGTTGTCTTAGGAAACCATAAGACAACATGTACTATTAGGTTATCATTGTATGGTAACTATTGTCTATTACTGATTTTTTCCCTTGTAACTAGCACATTTTACTTATCTATTTATGCAAAGAGTTTGATTTAAGTCAACACTTTAATTAGATTCAAGTCTGAATGAGATTTAATTGCCTCACATTTCCAGATGTTACTTTTTCAATGAACTGAACAGAAATATTAAATGGTATGGCTTGAATAGGACAGAGGTACAGGGTAGAAGTTTGCTTGAGATCCTTCAAAACAGCTGCCCTTTTACACAGTGATAGGAGAAAACATTATTCCTGATGTGTAAAGAATGGACTACAAAATGTATTAATTTGAAGGTATGAGGAAAATAATAAAAATTTTTCTCCTGCAAATTGTCCAAATAAGGAAAACCAGTAACATGCCACAATCTGTTTTAAGTGTTGTTGCTTTGCACTTTCTGAGACCTCTTAGAAGATTCTGTAGGGGTAGATGAGAGGGGTCAAGTGGTCTGAAAACAGTAACTGCAGATCTGAAATAGTATTTAAATTAAGAAAAAGATCTGTGACACATCAGCTGTTTAAGCATTATATGTATCAGTGACTATCAGCTGTCTTTGAAAGAGATGTGATATAAAGGATGGTGTAATTCAAAGTAAATTTGTGTAAGTTATTTTCTAGTAAAAAACCCTACATCAAACTAAACCTCAGAGTAATGGAAACTGGTGCAATCTTTGCCATGCCAAATGCTCAATCCAAACCCAAACTATTGCCCTTTGTTAGGTCCTGGAAATATATTTCCCAACCGTTAATTTATATCATTAAGTACTGACTGCCATATAATAACAGTACACAAACTTGTACTATTTAACAGAGACATGGTATTGCTTTCCCCTGCAATTTTTATTTTAATTTCATGTATTTTTCATGGTTTTTTGGAGGAATGTTGCTGAGCACTGGGGGAAGGCATAAATTAAGGAGGAATGGCATAAATTAAGACTATCCCTATATTCCTGTAATTCCAAATATCAGTTTTAAATAAAATAAAGAAAAAAGAAGATAAGCAAGCTCCTTGTCTGTGTGGTGATGTGGTGGTCTCAGATCAGGTCAGACCACAAGTCCATTAGGGTTTGTTTGCTCTTGGCTTCTACAGCTCTAAATGTCTTTCTTCTACTCCTTTATAGACAGAAGTCCAAGCCTATCTCTGCCAGGCCTTCACACCACCTCAGTGTACTTAAAATGATGTCAGCATCCTCAGGAACTAGAGGCCTAGAAATATCCTTGAGTTGAGCAAACCTGTCATCTGTGCTCTGGACCAAGCCCTCAGTGGCTGTCCTGTTCCTTTAGCCTCCTCAGTCTCCCAATGAACTGAGATTTTTTTCCTTCTCACAAAGCCTCTTCAGCTCATAGTGAAAGGAACACAGATATAACCATATTTTTCACTTCTAAATGGTTTTTTATGCATTGTCTGAAAGAAAACCATCAACAACCAAAAGATAGTCGCTTCTGGTAGATACTGAAGAACAGAAAAAGCACAGTGATACATTCCCAGAATAATCAACTCCCCAGATTATTTTATATTCAGGGACTTTCTGAGCCAGAGGATCATCTTTGTGTTTAAAAGCTTTAATTAGATTTCTTCAGTGCATTTGTTTAATCCCTTGCAAGCTTTTGTGATCTTCCAGCATCCACAACATCCTGTGGCAAGAAATTCCATGAGGCAGTCTGTTAGAGTGATGATTGTGCTGCTATTGTGTTTCTACAACATGTGGGAATTAACAACTCTCTTATACCTCTGTTACACCTTCCTACCCTTGTTTTTTTCATCTGTCCACACTATTTGCCTACAGAAAGTCCTATTAGATTGGCTTTGTGAAGACTCTGCTCTTTATTCCAAGAGGGAATAATTGGGTGAGTCCTCTACTGTAGAGACCTGCTGCCAGGACTGTGCCTTGCCTGGTGATCTAATCAGTCCTGTCTGACTTTGAAGTGTTCTCTCATGGCAAATAGACAGGACATAAAGTGACAGAAAGTCTTTCTTGAAAAGACCCCAGAGTTTTTCACCCTAAGGACAGGTGACATCTGTAGAAACTCTGCCTATTGCTTACTTGACAGCGGGAAAAAGAACATGTAGAGCTGAGTTCTGAGAGTACTTCAGGCTACAATAGTCTTGGTGTCTCTCAGATCTTACAGGTAAGTATGGAAATGCATCACATTGCACAAAACTCCTTCTTCCTGCTCTGGGTTCTTTACGATGGGACCTCTATTTTATCCTCATTACATAAATTTGGAAGGTGGCTTTATGCACAGGAATCTTAAAGCCTTGAGAAGGTACTTGGTCAGGGCAGATTGAGAAGTTTCTGAAGGCCTCTCTTAGGAAGACCTTGTTCAGATAGTTTTTCTGAATGGAGTTAGAAGTGGGATTAGTTTATCAGAGTGGGTGCAGCCTATACTTGAAGGAGTTCATGCTGGACTGCATAATTGATACAGACCTCACTGCCAGTAGTGCTTTGGCTGCAGCAGCAATATGCTTAATGCTGGCTACCTGCCCAGGGATGTAGCCTTCTTTCTTGGCAGATTTTGCAGCCTGCAGCCATGTCTTGAAACAGCTATTGACCTGGATCTTAGCTGATTAAAACTAATCTCAGCATGTAGCATTTATCCTGGAAGTTCTGCCTTCTATCTTCCAGAAACTCAGCACATATGTCCCACCTATCTTGCTTCCCCCCAGTTTTAATTGCCTTTGATTCTGAGTATCAGATCATCTTTTCCCCTTATTTTCGCAGCAGACAGTTATTAATGGGAAAAAATGTTCCTGGTGTCTGGCTGTGGGGTGGATCGTATTCCAAATACAAAGAATGACCTAGTTTCAGTATATGATGTGGCAGTTTTCCTCAACTCTGACTGTATTTCAGTAGCACTTAGCACCCTCACCTAACTCCTGCCACAAAGTGTTTCCCACTGCAGGAGTGTTCATTTTCAGTACAAAAATATCCCTAACAAAATGACAGGTTACCAACATTGCTGCTTTTTAATGAAGCAGACTCTCTAATGTAAAATAGTCACTGTGGGTTTCGGTTTGGCTAAGAGGTGGCTCGCAATAAAATATCGAGCAGTAAAATGGTATGTCAGAGTAATGCTAGAGTAATACCAAATTGTGCATGCCTATCACATTTTATTTCTGCCCTTGAAGGGTTGCTCTGTTTTTACTTAGAGCAGAGCCTGTTCACCCTGTTGGAAAATGTCCATTTCAGATTCTGTATGTGCTGACTTTTGGAGGACTTGAAGTGATTGCTTGGCTCTCATTTGTGACCATAACTTGTAGTTAAACTTTTAGTTAA